CTTTATTCGGAATGATTTCTAAGACATTTATGTGTACATGATATAGGTGTTGTGATCTCGATGATTAGTGAGAAAAATGGAGATGGATATGCATTGCTGTTAGATGGATCAACGTTTGAAGAGATTGCTAGGGCAAAGTTCCCCTATGGTCTTCCATATGGACTGCATGGATGCTGGGTTCCCTCCAAATAATCATAGAAATGATGAACTAGCCAGTATCAGTTCTACATTCATTATTTACAGCTAGCCAAAGAATGTTCCCACTTCGACTGCGTTGATATGTAGGTCACGGTTAGCTAGGTACACAAAAATATGCTACTCGTTTATATGATATGAGTGACATGTAAGCAGATAGATATAGGCTGTACCTACGCATAACAATGTGACAAAATCTATGTTCATATTTCTTTTCGTTTTAAGTGAGCGTTGCGAGTTATAAACTACATATATTTTTCTTTTTGTTAAACATGTACTATACGTATTTGTCCCATAATTTGAAAGCTCAATCAATATTTGTTGGTTGGCCGAAAAATAAATCAGTATTTTAAAGTTCATTTGATAATCATTTCGTTTTCAGTTATTGTTTTTAATTTTTTAAAAACTGATAACTTATTTGATAATTATATTTAGTCTTAAAAAACAATAAACTACAAGTAACTACCCAACTTTTAAGGATGATTCCAAATTAGTCCCAACACTTTCTAAAACATTCCAAAAGCTACCAATTGTTTTGAAAAATGAACATTTGTTAGGTCCCTAGCGTTAACTGATGATGTGAGCAATTTAGTGTTTAACTTGACTAAAGAGACCAATTTAGGGTTTTAGAGCTTCAAAGATGGCGATCAGTAAAGATCAACTTCAATTTTTGTCCACGTTATCACTTAACATTAATGACATCATCATTTTACACTGGTAACATGTGCTTGTTGCCTAACATGTCTAATTTTCAAAACGTTAAGTGTTTATTTGAAATGTTTTAAAAGGTTAAGTTGATACGCCACGATCCCAATATTTCCCGAACACCAGGATAGACACGTGTTGGCCGACACCTAAGGGTGACAAAAGCCATTTATTGAATGCAATTGCTGAGAACAAGGAATAAATAAGACCTATAAATTTAAATATAATTAAAATGCAAGTAAGAAACGTGTTCAAAGCATACAACTAACTAGAATACTAACAAGAAATAATATAAAATTGAATGAATAAGAGGATGGGTCCTACACCGAGAGGACTCGAAGATGCCGATGCGGAAGTGTCTTGACGCCGGTCTTGACGCCGAGATTGTATGCCTCGATTCTAAGTCCTGAAGGAGGTGCAAAACAAACATGAGTGGACCAAGTTGATATATATATATATATATATATATATATATATATATATAAAACAGTTATCAACATACTAACCTCCAGGTTTTATGAAAACTCATATAACATGATAAAAATAGGTTTTCTGAAACCTAACATTATGTGCAATGTCTCAAATCATAACTCATATATATCGTAATCACTAGTGAATGTTCAATATCCCTCGCCAACTCCCCGTCTCTATGCTAATTGCCAGAGGAAAATCATCCATGGGCCCCGTGCCAGCTCCTCGTCCTTGTTCTAATTGCCAGAGGAAAACCATCTTCAGGCCCTATGCCAACACCGTAACCGTCGCCCAGGACGAAATCTATCCCTCATCCTGTAGCAGAATTGGGACCACTAGGTAAGTACAAAACCATTGAACATACATTTATTTGAAAAGCAACTTCATAGTATAAAGTCATCCATCATCTATACTATAAAGAGGTGTTCTAAACATGTTCTAAATATTATATCATCATCCATAAGATATTCTATAAAGAACATGGGTTATAGGAAAAATAGTAATAATTCAAACTAGCCTCAATAAGCATGTTATCTCATAAAACGTAATCATCAAATCATGCATTTTTAGAAGGGGTCCATCCATAGATACTTAGCCGCTGAAAAGCCACGCAAACTAGCAAACACGGAATCGTCACGATATATGCACCTAAGCACATAAAGGGTACAATTAATAAAGCTCTATCCAAACAATTTAATTTGGAAAAACGAATGTCAAAAACGAATTCAGGAAGTCGAATTACTCTAAGAGGGGTCCCGGATAAATTTCGTAAAAGTTCAACACAGGAACATTCCAGAGAATATTCCTTTGAAGGTTTCAGGAATATCCTTGGAATGTTCCAACCGGGTTTAGGGCTTAGGGTTTGGACTTGGGTTAGGTTTAGGTTTAGGTAGGTTGGGTTTAGGATAATGGGTTAATGGGTTAAGGGTTTCTAATTTAAAATGGGTTTTAGGGTTGGGTTATATTAGGTTTAGGCTTGAAAGCCCGTGGGTCTTGGGCTGGTTCAATGGCCCAAAGGCCTGTCTCACTAAGGATCTCAAATGGGCTGGGCTTGAAGGCCCGGCCCTATTCCTTTGGATTTTAAAACAAAATAAACAAAATAAAAATAAAAGGTTTTTCAATGGCCCACATGCCTGTCTCACTAAGGTTCTCAAATGGGCTGGGCTTGAAGCCCCGACCCTATTCCTTTGGATTTTAAAACAAAATAAACAAAATAAAAATAAAAGGTTTGGGTTGGGTTGGAGAGTTTGGGTCGAAAGATCCTAGGCCCAAAGGCCTAAATTTCCAAAAGGGTTTTGGGTTAGGCTTTAAAGGATTGGGTTTAGTTTTCAACGGGCCGAAGGCCCTAATTTGTTCGGCCCAAGGGCCTGGGTTTACTAAACTGTGGGTCGCTGGACCCATTCAAAAGAAAAAGCCTGAATTCGGCCGAAAATTAGACAAACTTTAAACGTTAATAACTTTGTCAATAAGCAACGAAATCGAGTGAAACAAAAGTGAAAGTTATAGCTCTCGATGAGACGAAGAGAATAGTACCTCACACGATGTCTAATTCGTAGCAGTTTGGCTGAAAAATGCCTTGAAAGTCGCAAAAGTCGTCGGAAACTGGGTAAGATTCAAATGAACATGCATGCCTCGAAAGCCTTGAAAGTTGTAGTACTTAGTGAGACAAATAGATTGATACCATGCACGCTGGGCCAACTCGTCGTGGTTTGGCTTGAAATTGGCTAGAAAGTCGTCAATTTCTCACTGGAAACTGGATTTGAGTTTCCAATGATGTTTCCCGTACCCAACGTCTTAGAAAAACTAGAAATACTACCCACAGTACGATCCAAGAAGTTTTGGGTGATTCTCAAGGCTTATCATCATCGGAAATCCAAAAACTCACCGGAGAAGGAGATGCACAGTGGCAACGCCACGGCACCACAAGAACGGGGAGGTTTTAGGTGTGCTCCAACCTTGCTCCAAGTTTCGTGGATCACACGGGGAGGTTTAGGTGGGTGGATGAGGTGGTGACTGTCAATGGGTCTGTGTGTACGATGATTCTTGGGGAGGGAAGGAGAGAGTTGCAGAGAAAGGGAGAGAGAGGACTCATGGTTCCAAAGGAAAAAAGAAGAAAGGGGGCCAGGAAGGAGACCAAAATGGAAAGAGAGCCCCACGAGCACACACATTAAGACCCAAAAATAATTTTTTTTTTAAATCCAAACTATTTTTAAAATCGGGAATGGGGTGTAACATAAGTCAATTTAGAATCACCCCTAAATATAAAATAGTTATACGTACTTAACCCAAAATAAAAACTGTAGGCCAAAAGCTGAAAGCAAATTTTTAAAGTTTTCAAATTTTGGCTTCCAATGAAATCTGAAAATAGTTACAAAAAAAAAAAAAAAAGTTTTTAATTTTCATACTAAATCAAAAAAACGAAAAACTGAAAATAAAAAAAAATTAAAAAAAAAGTTAGTAAACGAGCCATAAGTGCATTTCTATTTTCTGGCACCAAACTGCCTCCGTGGGCAGCCAGTGCAACATGTATTTTGATTTTGGGTAAGTTCCTACTGAAATCAGTTGGCCGGTATACATAGATTACTATAAATTATTCAAAAATTCACAAAATACTTTCGGCATAGGGAAATAAAAAATGGATAACTAATTACATGCAGAGAGGGACGTACCTAAGGAAATGGTCAGGGTCTTTGGCACATTGAAGACTACAATTTCCGGCACCTCTTCGACGGCTATGCAGTGTTAGCTAAGCTCCACTCCAGAAGGCGGCCTCACTGCCAAACCGATTCCGAGGCTTACAGGACGGCCATAAAAACCAAAAAGCTACGTTATCATGGATTCTCTGAAGTCCCAAACCACTATAACATCCTATCCTACCTCTTCGAGCTTGCCAATCTATTAGTCTTTGGTGCATCACCGTAAATTCGTTGATGGCCGTGTTGTTTGCATTACCGAAACTTAAAAGACACATTGGGGAAACTTGAGTACAGTGACTTGTTAGGGGGTTTGAATTAAAGGAAGGTGATACGCCAGATCGATTGTAGGGGTGGACGTACTGTGGATTGGATTCCCTCTCTTCATATGCCAGATCACTATGAAATGTCACTCGGTCGAAAGCGTTTATGCAGGCCATGTGCAGAAATGGTGGCAAAATTTTACGTCCCTTTCTTGACCAAGTGACATTTCTCTTTTCAATGTTGGAAGAAGATCCAAATTTAATTATGGCTTCCCTCATATACCATAAATAACTTTGTAATATTCATTTCATTGTTTTGAAGGTGGCGTGCATGGAAGCCCTGCTGTATATACCATTTCATTTCATTGATGCTTAAGAAGAGGAAGACGAAGATGAAGGCGGGAGGGTGACAACGATTACTGTAGATTTTTGTGAGCACAATGTTGATTGTCGATACAACGATTCTCGACAAGTTTAGGTTACAATACCTCCAGTCATATACCGGCAAAGATGTACAACCAGATGCTAGGTATAATTTAGTGCCACACCATTCACATTTTCCATTACCAACACTATATTATGAAGGTGATTTCCGCACTCTTCTTTTCTTTCCATGGACTTTTTATTCCTGGCCATTAGATTGAATAGAGTAAGAAGAATCAAGGCCCATAAACAAAATGAAGAACGGAAATCATTTCCCAACATTACTATTGTTATTCAAGGATTTCTTTTATTTGTTCTCCGATAACAAGCACATTTCAATATATGCTCTTCTTCCTCAAACTTCCCAAGTATGAAAATACAGTACAACAAAATTTTCTTCCTAGAGAACAGAAAGGTAAGGTAACGACCCCGCACCCATCACTCCTCCTTAAGTGATCTCGACAGATATACTTCAATTGAGTTAGATACCAAAGACAAACCAGATCGAAGAATATTGTAAGGCCAAGAGCTCAATTCGATTGCTGAGATGATGACTAAAGATAGAGATTTTGATCACTTCTGGTCCGTATACACAGCATCAACATCATCAAGTTCAAGCAATTGGGACATAAGTTCCTTGTTCAAATCCATAGCCTCGTCATCTACCTGCAACAGACCAGTAGTTTTACCTCAAATGCTCAAAATGGACTTGTAAATATGAAGACAGTTTGTGAGAAAGTATACAATTCGCATAGTGAAAAGAAGAAGAAATCCCAGCTATAAGGCTGTAACAGATCAAAGTCATATGTATGCAGGAGAGACAAACCTCAATAGCGCTTATTGGAAGCAGCTCAGAACCATTATCCGTCTCAAAACTTACTCCTTCCTCACGTAGCTTTGAAAGTACTGTTGTGTAGTTCTCTGATGAGCTTACGATTTTGAAATAACTACCAGAAACAAAACAAAAAAAAAAAAAAAAAAAAAAACTAAATAAAGTTAAGAACTGTGTATAGCGAAAGGAGAAAAGTTCACAATGATGGGTGTGTGTGTGTGTGTGCGTGCGTGCCCCTGTGTGTTCACGAAAATATGCATATATCAACATTCCAATGATTGAACCAGGTGCCTACAATAACACGTATGAATGGAGTTCAACTACTGGATAGGCTCGAGGCTCCCATTTAATGAGCATGAAAGTTGACCAGAAGTGAAGATCTTGCATTTCACAGAAAACGTAAGCTCATAGGCAAAGTGAGTCAAGAAGACTCATACCTTGGACAATGGCAATTACAACTCAATTGGATGATGTTAACTTAGCAAAATCATATATCAGTTAAAAAAACCAGAGAAAGTAGAGTTACAACACAAATATATTTACATAAGGAATGCAGCTCTAGTGGAAAATTACCTTTCTGAACTATCTTCGGTATCATCTTCATATACTGGCGGTTCTATAACATCCTCAGCACCAGCATCTAAAGCAATGGAAAGGAGCTGATCCTTATCAACATCTGAAGCTTTTATGTTTACAACCCGAGCACGCCTGAATTTGAACAAAACAGATCCTGAGTCAGCCATCTTCGCCCCACAGTCCTTCACCACCTCTCTAACCGCTGCCACAGACCGGTTTATTTTATCAGTCAAGACCTCGACTACCATACAAGCTCCACCAAAACCATATACCTGACAATAGTAGCACCCATAAAATCAGGTCACATGAGAAAAGTATCGATCCAATAAAATAATCCTTAATGTTGAACATAAAACTTTTAAGCAGGACCAAAGAAGATCTAGCAGATGACACTGATACCGACCTCGTATACTTTCTCAATGTAAGCTTCTTGTCCTTTCTCAGATGCTTTCTTAATGTTGCGCTCGACAATTTCCTTGGGTACATCAAGCTCCTTGGCTTTCTCCAAAACAGTTGCCAGGGCCATATTTGATATAGGACTTGGACCGCCTTTCTTTACACTGCACCATTAAGGCACAACGAAAAGTTACCGGCACTGCACTATACCAAATACCCCCTATTGTTGAAACTATGAAACTAGTGTAATTCTCAATAAGTATGACTAGGAGATTAACATTTGTCTTTATACAAAGATTATGACTAGGAGATTAACATTTGTCTTTATACAAAGATTAGACTTTAATCAATGCTAAATCAGCACTAGCAAAATACAAAGAAGGCCAGAGCGACTAACTTACGCAGACACAACTTCCTTCCCTATCCTGCTATATAGCTTTGCCTTCTTTGCATCTTGAGCCCCCTGCATTACCAATTCCACAACTTTCAAAACAAACCCAACAAACAGTCACAAAACCCTGACACACATTACACGGGCATTTCATCAAACACTTGGCGTGCAAGAAAATAAAAACCTACAAAGCAGAACGAAAGAGCTGACCTTTCGGCCGGCGATTTTGCTGGAACGCCTGCCCATACAAAGAGGAGCGACGGTCCATATGGTTCTTCTCGCTGCAGCGCCGCCGTGCATGTGGGTCGAAACCCATGGCGGCAATGATGAAATTGCAGATGAATACGATAACTTTCTGCTCAGCAGAACATTCCCTGAATAAAAAAGTCAGCTAAAAATTCACTCTCGAAAGCAAAATTCATAATTCACAGAGAGGAAGAAGATAAGAATATATGACATGTACAGTGAAGAACCAAGGAGTTTGGGGACTTGGAGGAGACGCCATTGCTGACTCTGTGAACAATTGCTCCTAACGCTCTCATTGTACTAGACGACCCCCATCACTGTTTGCCGCTGCCTTCGAATTTGTGTCAGCTGCGAGTCCGTGACGCCGTCAAGTGTCCACGGCCAAGTGCCAAGTGGGGTGAAAATCTGCGGGCAGCTTCACGATCATTACACTTTTTTATTGGGCCTTGGCGCCACCAGTGCAAATGAACCTGGCCCAAAACCTACGTGAGCCTGGATTTTGAGTACGAAACAAGGTTTTTTTTTTCCCTCAATGCACATATTTGACATGCTCCACGGTATCACAAACTTTTGTTGGTTCCTTTTTTCTTTTTCTTTTTTTGGGTCAAAGTGCAACTTTTATTACAAACCAAAACCAAACAAACATACAACAAAGGCCCAAAACTAATACATGGACAAGCAAAAAGTGGGCCAAGACAAAACAAAGTACAACAGAGCCAACCAACTATTGCAAACCAAACACACAAACAACTTTGCAAACGCTATAAACATCCACCGCAACCGTCCTCGCCGTAGCAACCTCAATCTGTCCAATTCCTCATCCCCATCTGAGTATCTCATCTTTAGACGCAGCATCCTACCCTGATCTGCTACACGAGCACAGCCACAAGGAACGAATAGCCAGCAACAACAGAACGGAAGCCAGCTATCGGGATGAAGTTCATGGAAACCCACAAACAACGCTGCCGGCAAAGGCAGATAAGCCAGAGAAGGTGGCGGTGTTGGAAACACCTGAGCCAGTAAAACCGCCAGAGCTCAACACACGATCTCCACGATATTCATGGCTGAAAATCGGAATAAAGATGAACAAAGAAGAGGGACACCAACTAGGAAAGAGGGATAGAACAGATCTGGGTTGAAAGCAGGGGGAGAGAGCAGTAGAAACAAAAAACAGAGGAAAGGAATAAAGAAAGGAGGATACGGCGATTGACCCCAGCCACGGCTAAGGTTAGGGGTGGGCATGGTGCGGTTTGGTGCGGTTCCACACCTGAATCGGAACTGGAACCGGAAAATATCAACGGTTTGGTTTAGTGCTGTTCCGCTTAAATTTATTACTAGAACAGTACGGTTCGGTCTACACCGGTTCCGATTTGGCTCTTGCCAGTTTACAGTTCTGAATACTAAATTATTTGAACACCAAATCATGCATTCAAATTATTTATGGCACAAATCCTCAAGAATTGTACAATATGTTTTCACAAATGGGTTTGGCCAAATAGAAGAATAACTACCTAATTTCCATTTGGAATGTCCCTCAAATTGATCCACAAGCAGCATCAATTTGAAGTCCACATGATTTTTTTTTCTTGTTCTTTTGTCAAGAAATTGGCATAAAGTTTATGTAAAAAACCTAGGAAAAGCGATGAAACAAAATGCTCTTCAACTGACATGAGATCACATATCCTAGCAACAAGACAACATAGCAATAGATGCACCGCACCACCCTTTTCCTCTACTCATAGAACACTAAACCAAAGTAATGACACTCCTCTTGGGAGAATTTTCAATTTAAGGTAGCCACTAATATTGGTTTATGTAAAATAGAGTGCAGACATTCCTTTTTTCCAAATGGCAGCGACAACTAAAAAAGTGCAACCAAGTGGGGCCAGCTGTGTGAAACTGAAATGGGGGAATAGGGATATGAGGTTGTGAGTGAGGTGAGTGAGCCCTAATTGGGATGGGATCCATTGCTTTACAACTTGGTGAAACTAATTTTTCAACCTATTATACCATGACATGTGTGTATATATATAATTTATTTATTTATTATTAATAAACTGTTCGGTTTGATTGCGGCCGGTTCTTGTTCATTCGAAACCGAAACCAAAATCGGTTTGAACGGTCCGATTCGGTTTTTGACTCAAAGTTGACTTTTTCGGTCAGCATAGTTTTTTTCGATTTTTTTTTCATACGGTTCGATGTGGTTTTGTAGTTTTTATGCCCACCCCTAGCTAGGGTCGGTGCCACCGGGTTTTCGTGATTTTTGAAGACTCACACCAGAAGGTGAGAAAGACTCTCAGAATGAGAGAAAACTCTCACTCGGAGAGAAACAGGACCGGAAATACTGCTCTACTTTTGTTGGCAGATTGGAGGATTAGAAACATGACTATTACTTTCCAATTGGCTTTTTTGTGCATTAATTGCTACTTCATTAATTTTACTAATCAATGTACCTGTTGTATTTGCTTCTCTTGAGGGTTGGTTAGGGAACAAAAATGTTCTATTTTCCAGCACATCATTATGGATTGGATTAGTCTTTTGGATGGGTATTCTTAATTCTCTCATCGTCCATATTCTTATGAGTGACGTATTCGATAACTAATAATAACTGACTTAACTCAAATCCTTCGCTTATAATATTATTGCATAAAATTTATAGTATACTATCTAATTTAGGGATCATAATAAATACGAACGAATAAGAATAAAACGCTCATCCTTGCCAAAAGAATGATTATTTTAATGTATCCCCTTTGAAATCATATCAACAGCAGGTGGACTCGCTAGCCAATAAAATGATACATGAAAAGGGTCATCAAAATTTCTTTTTTCATACATGTTGTATTTGAGTTTGCATTTCTCCAACGGCGAGTTTAATATCAAACTAGCTATAGCTTCACAGAGTCATATTCGAATTAAGTATTTGTAAATCCATACCTAATTAAGACAATTATTCTTGGATTAATATTAGTAGTCACTTATGATTAGAACATGTAAGCATTCTGAAAACCATGTGTGGGCATGTTGTCGTGTACTAACCACTCACTAATGTTCTTATAAATTAGTTGACCAACTGTCGTTGTAATCCAACTTTATTAATATTTACGATCAATTATATGATTCTTGTCCCTCTAGTTTAGAGAAAGTTTTGGAATATGTAATTTAAACTGTCGCGATTTAACTTTTGAAGTTTATTAGCTGTTGCAATTTAAAGATAAGTAGATAATTGCGTTACTTTTTATTAATTTTATTAAAAATTGAAAAGTTTTGTCTCGTCCAACATGCCAAAATTTAAGAAAATGAGAAATTAGGTTTTCATCCCTCTTTTTTCAACTCCATTGATTGAAATCTTATTCATTTTCAAATTTTAATCAAGGTCTCTTGGTTTTAATAAACATAATTAATTATTTCAAAAATAAAATATTTTACATATCAAGATAATTAAATTTTATTTCTAAATTATTCATTTAATGTTAGAAATGTTACATTTCATATATTTTGTTACATTTGATACATTTGATATAAATTATTTCTAAATTATTCATTTAGTGTTAGAAATGTTACATTTCTAAATTTTGGATCATATATTTTTATTTTTAATTTGCAACCCTTTTTTTAAATTGTGCCAATTTTCTATTCAGTTTTAGTTTGTAACCATATATTAATTTCTTTTTGTGTCCACATTTTTCAAACTTTTATTTGTACTTATATTTTTTTGAACTTTTATTTGTACCCATAATTGTGACAGCTCGTCCCAAATTATTTTTATCGATAGCGTGAATTGATGAAATTGCCCTTGAGCATTTGGTGATGGTGTGTGTAGATGGGCTAAGGTTTTGGACCAATTAAGTTCATTTCCTAACTATTTGGACCCAATCAAATTTTAAAGTTTTATTTGTTTTGGTTGGTGACCCAATTTGGACCACACACACTCACCCTCATCTAATCACGTTGACCCTTTCTCTCTCTCTCTCTCGGATTTCCTTCCATTTCCGTACAAACTGTATGGTCAACCTCAAAACCCTTCAACCAGTCGCAGATCGAGGTTTTGGTTGGTGTCTTTGGACTCCTTACAAGCTTAGGAGTCGAGTGGTACCATTTTTAGGACACGAAGCCGTCAGAATACCCAAGAACCAGAAACCCAGATTCGAGGTACTGTTTATGCACACGTAAATGTGGAGTTTTTGGAAGATTCTAAGGTTATAGGAAGCTTTAGATCATCTTCACGAGGCTCGAAGAAGAAAAATGAAGTGATTTGGACGTCGGGAAGTTGAGTTTCGACGAGTTGCAGGTTTAGCCGGATTATCAAGGGATTTTCCGGTGAGATCCCATGAGTTTTATGTCCTAAAATTGGTAAGGATTGTTTCTACTTGTCTTAAGCTTCATTTTGGTATAAAATTCGTGAAATTTGGTTGAGAAATGAAGAAGATATTAAGGTTTTTCTAATTTCCAGTTTCCGGCAACGACGACGGCGACCGGCGATTCGCTGGAGAAGAAATGAGAATATTACATCGATATTGACGGAATATTCCTAACAGCAGCTAACGGCGTCAGGTTAGTTTTAACGGAATATTCTAATTTTTAGCAGAATATTCCCTAACGGCGGTTAAGGATTCTGTCAGGGTTGGCCATGCGTGGGGGCGCTTCGGGCCGTGCCTTGGCTGGCGCGTGGGAAGACGAAAAATTTTTCTAAAAATATGGGGATGTTCCTAAGGCTGAGTAAATCATGGTGGTATATTCAAATACCCCATTTGAGTATTGTATGAAAAGTTATTACCTAATTTTGTGATGTGCTTTAAATAACGTTTATTCAGTTATTTCGCATATAGGTGAGACATATCCTAAGGACGAGCGCCATCAATCAAGGCTCGGGGGCTACGACCCTTTGACATACCAGTGAGTGGGCTTTTGGTTTTCCGTATATACCTATATACTTGAGATTTTTCCCAGAAAATATGTTTAAATGAATATATGTTTTGAAAATGCCGTGCAAGTATCTATCTATTTTAATTATGCATTAGTAGTTGCATACATTCATGATTGGTGTTGCGGACGCACAGGTAAGTGCCAGGTAAGTTCATAAATCAAAGGTATGTGATTGTTTCGGTTATGTGAGATATGTTGTGATGTATTGAGAGCTCATAAACCTGCACCTCGGTGTTAGTGCTCCCACCCAAAGTTAGGGCACAGTCCTTCACGTGATGTTCACCTCCCGCACCATATGCTCACCTTGGATCCAAGTTAGGTGCACAGGCTTGTCGTACAAACCACTTTAGGTGGTTTCGACTCATAGGTGACCCGCGATCATTCGCACAGCCTTCACATGATCGTAGCACTAGAGCATATTTACTTTACACCTAGTCTTGTCGTACAGGCCACTTAAGGTGGTTCTGACTCGTGTGCAGGATTTGA